CTTGAAGATGCTGTCAATAAAAACTTGTCAGACTGAAGTGCAAAGAAAAAGAAGGAGAAGGTTGCTGAAGTCCTTCCAGATAAAGGTGGTGGTCGCTGTAGTGAGGGGAGATACTGTAGTGCACACAAGTGTCAACCGGCCAGTGGCTTTTGTCAGGAATATCCCCTGGACTACAGCACCAAATGAGCTGACAGGATACTTTGCTCAGTTGGCCACATATGCAAGTGCCATGTTCCTGTTGACAAAGAGACTGGCTTTCACAGAGGTCTGGATTGGTTTCAGTTTTCTTCAGAAGAAGAGCTTCAGAATGCAACACAACATGAAAATCATGTATGGAGTAAAGGTCCATGTTCAAGTTCAAAGACCAAAAAGTTTGCTCATGATTCTGAGAGCAACCCAGATCAATCATCTGATGAAAAGAAAGATTTGAGTTCCGGGAGAACATGGCGGACAGATAACAGCAACTGCCGGAGGCTCTCTGAAAAACTAGGCTCAGAAGCCAGGTATGGTGCGGACTAAAGAGACATAAGCTGGTGGATTTATGCTCTGCTGACTCAGGAACGAACTCGGCTGAGAGAAACCAACTTGGAATGCAGTCCTGGTGCTAAAACAGGAACAGAAAAGCCTTGCTCCGAGGCTGGACCCCGCGCCATTGGAAGCCGCGATTTGGGTTTCCCGCTGCGCGGTGGCTGGCTGCCTCTACATCGGCTCAGCAAGGAGAGAGACGCGCGGAAACTCTGGGAGCGGGAGTCTGCGAACGGAGTCGAAAACAGGACGGGCAGGGAGGCATGTTCTGACTTGTGGCGAGGTGAGTGAGGGAGACTGACACTCCGCCACAGTTTGAGCCACAGTTTGACTCCCGCCACACATTCCCCTCTTGGGCGGGATTGGTGAAAAGTGCCTGGCCTGCGTGACGCTGCTGGCGGATCCCGTAGGCTGTCCCAACCCAGATCCCAGAGCCTGACGGTGGCCGGGAGGGGAGACGCGTAGGCTGCCTGGTCCGTAACTCCCTGGTGCGCAGCGGTGAGCGGGAACACCTAACTGGCGCAATTTGATCAGGCTGTGGCTGACTGGGAGAGAAGCTGGGCCTCTTATATAAGCTTGCATATATAAGGAACAGAGAAGAAGAGGCAGCATGGGAAGAGGCAGCAACAAGAAAGGCTCCTCGGCCCCCAATTCTGAGAATCAGGCAATAGCAGACACCGCACCAATACACATAAGGCGCCATATAGAGAGCCTCATAGACCAATTCAGGAATGAAGTTATCAACGACCTGAAGCTAGAAGTAGGCAGAATAGTTAGAGAAATGCTAAGTACCACCCAAGAAAAAACAGGTGGTGGAATGGAAGAACAGAAAAAAAGGGGAGAATTGTTTGATGGAGAAAACAGAGAAAGCATAGAATACGTGAAGCAGGTTCAAAGGGACTACCAAGATACTAAGAAGTCTATCGAAGACTGGCATAACAGCTTGAAAGAAACTAAGGACAGACTATCTGAACTGGAGGGCAGACTTGTAATATGGGAGAATGAAATGAAAAACTTCTTAAAAATAACAAAGAAACAAACAGCAATAATACAAAAACAAGAAGATGATAAGAGGATCCATAACTTAAGGATTAAGAACATAAAAGAAGAAGTAGGGACACAAACAAGTGAACTACAAAAGCTACTCACAGAAATAATCCAGGAGAATTTTCCTAATTTAGCAAAAGGTAAAGATACTCAGATGTATGAGGCATACAGGACCCCAGCCACCTACAACCCAAACAGAACTACACCCAGGCATATAATAATAAAAATTCCAGAAATTCAATACAAGAACAGAATATTAAAAGCTGTCAGAGACAAGAAACAGACCACTTACAAGGGAACACCCATCAGAATTACAGCAGATTTCTCTGCACAAACCATCAAATCACGAAGAGCGTGGGGGGAAATAATTCAAGCTTTGAAAGATAATAATCTCCAGCCAAGATTGAGATATCCTGCACAACTGTCCCTGGAAATTGATGGAAAAACAAGGTGCTTCCAGGATAAAGAGGAACTGGGGGAATTTGCAACCACCAATTCAACTCTACAGAGAGTATTGCAGGATATTCTAAAAAAACAAAAATACAAAGAATTCAGAAATAGTGGAGGCCACAACGAATGGAGCAGAGAACAAAGTGAAGAAGACAAACTGACAGCTACTGACAGAATAAGAGCTCAACAGAAATGAGACAGAGAAGATTGGATGATCGGAACAGCTATTTTGGAGAAAATGACATCTTAATAGGTAATACTGATTTAGTATCATCTTGTTTTGAAGTCTCATCTAGCTTTTGTCCTTCTGTCTCCAATGGTCTAAATAGGTTGTATCTTACTGGATTTTATTATGTACGATAATATAAGCAAAAACCTTTTAAAGTCAAGGAGATTATACAGAAACCATTGTTCATTTTCTGTTAGTCGATTCAAAATACTCTGTAATACTGTCATTCTCTTAAATGGTTCTACATTGTTTTGATATACTTAATGCTACAGTATACGAAGTTGTACTCAAGGATTTCAAGGAAAGAGACAATATGGTAACTACTTTTAGGTCAGGATTATCTGGTGGTGAAACACTATTCTGCTTAAATGGTTATGTTTTGATCTGTGCTGTTTCGTTGTTATGCCTTCTTTTATCTCAATCTCCACTCCATTATTTACTTTTTTATTTTTATCCTTTTAATTAAAGGAAAAAAATAGCAGGATATATTATAGTAACCCACTTTGACTTTCCATTACCTCGATTTAAAGCCCTGTATTACTCTCACCATCTGGTTTTTAACTGATGTTCCCCTATTCTGTTTTGCTGGATAGTATCAGGTTCGAAAGTTTAGGCATCAGCTGTGAAGATAATGAGATTCATTATAACGCCCATTCTCGTTGACTTTTATCTACTTTTGAAGACCTACAATGTCTCCAATGTTTTGGTTTTGTCGCTTTTATTCTTTACTGTTTTGTTCAATTGTATTATAACTAACGATACAGGCAATTCTATTAGAGATAGTGGGAGGCATTATGGTAACCATTGTTGATCACCTTGTATTATGTTTTCACATTATCTATTATGTCCACCCTTTTGACTTGACCGATTCTGTTCTGTTATGTCACATTTGGTTTTACTCTCTTCCAAAAAAGTAATAAGAACCGTGGAAGCAATGAAACCCAAAATGTGTAATAGTCATTGTACAAAAGAGAGGAAAAGAAAGTGCTCTAAACTATATAACTGCATGTATATTTAAGTGTATAAGATAAAAAATGATATCACAGAGTTTTATTGGATCATTGAACAGAACTGTTTGCAGTATCATTGATGGAATGTCCACTCTACAAGCTTTAATTTTGTGACTTGAACAATTATTTCTAAGATGACAATATGTAATCCATTAACTAGTGATTTCCTACTGTTCATTTTTTTTTTCTGCAAATCTGTATAACTTGTACCCTTTCTGTTTTTTTTTCTTTTCTCCTTAAATAAAAAAAAAAAAAAAAAAGAAAGATTTGAGATGACTACTGCCCATTAAACAAACATGAAACAGGAAAAAAAAAAAAAGAGAAAAGGAAGAAAAACATAGAACAGAATATCCAAGAACTATGGGACTACAAAGGATGTAACATCCACATAATGGGCACACCATAAAGAACAAAAAGAGAAAGGAACAGAAGAAACATTTGAAGCAGTAATTAACTGCAGACCCAAAACCATAATTGGGGAAACTCAGAGTATACCACGGATAAATAACAAAAACTCTATACCTAGGAATATCATAAAAATCCTTAATGTGTACATGCCCAACAGGGGCATCAGAATACATAAGCAAAAACATGTAGACCTATGGAGAAGTAGATAAATTCACCATTACAGGTGCAGACTTGAACACCCCTCTATCAGTAGCTGACAGATCCAGCAAGCAGTAATGAGACAGGTGCATTAATCAATTAGATCCAAGCGACGCTTATAGAATACTTCATCCAACAACACAGAACGCACATGCTTCTCAACCGCGCATGCAGCATGCACTGCAAGGCAGAACACATGCACTGCTGCCAGGGCTGGGAGGCAGTTGAACAGCCACTAGGCTGTGGGGTGCACGGGATGAGGAGGCGGGCTACAAGGAGGCTCAGCTCCAAGGTCACTGTGCCACTTAGGTGCCCTGCCCTTCATGTCTTCATGTATAAAATGTAAATCTACCTCAGGCTCCTTACCTCCCTTTCTTCTTTCCTCAGAAGAGATTTGATTCTATTAGCACTATTTTTTCAAATATCACAGAATCGGTGTTAAACAGCTAACAAGTCTTCTACATAGTAGATACATGAAACTTTCAATATTTTTTTTTGTACCTAGTATCTCCAATCAATAGTAAAAAAAGAATACATTAGCTTTTATGAGTTGGGTACTATAAGTGCTAAAAATGTATCATGTTGATATTCCTATTGGACACTAGAAATTCCAAAGTCCTCATATTTATACTCAGAAAAGGAAATCTTAGGTATATAATGAGAATTTTAGCTCATTTAGTTGTATGAGAAAAGTGACACTATATCAAGTTAAATAAAGATTAATTAATTAGCTACAAAGTTCTTAGTCTTATAGCTGAATTGCTAGTACATGTACTTGTCATCTTCTATGGTAACAAAATTCCAAAATGGATTTATTTTTAAAGGGCCTGAAAGTAGGAGGTAGGGTGATTTATGAATTAAATGGGAACTGTTTGGATAAATATGTCAATCACAAGGATTCAATGATCATTACTTTAAAAAGCTAGTATTTAAACTCTTTATAAGAGCTAGTTTTAAAAAGCTAGTTAAGAAAGGAAAGGAAAACTTACATCTTATCTTAAAAGACTACTTATGAGATTTAAGAAACATATAGTTGAGTGTTCAACAATACACTCTCAGGGAAATGGTCCCTGAATCTGTCTACAATGAAGAACAGGACAGTAAGAGACAAGAAAGAAAAAAGGATGGCTTACTGTCTCGGTGAGTTAGAGCAGACCGCCTTTTCTGAATCAAGTGAGCTCAGAGTTTGCAAAACACCAGCGTTCTTTCCAGTGGCAAGAACATCTCTTTCCTGCTCAGTGTGGATTAGGGCGAAGGCCTGGATCCCACCTTCTCTCTCCATCTGGGCACCCCGATTTGGCTGTGGTTCTAGGCTCTGTAAAATCAGGTCATCTTCACTGATGGAGACCGTGAGGCTACTGCTGCTGCTGCTGCTGCTGCTGCTGCTACTTTCCTCCTCCTGCTCCTCCTGCAGGTGCTCCAAGGGTTTGTGTAACTCTAGGTCCCCAGGGGTGAGGTGACCTGCATGGGGGACACCACACAGATCGCTTGTCATTGATGTCATGGAGAATCAAGGAAACACAGAACAGAATGACTCCTCAATTAAGAACACACAGTACCAATCCATAATTACAGGATTTAAAAATTCAAAAGTTTTATTTTTAATAAAAAAAACTACAAAATTTTAAATTTTGTGGTGCTGGAGATCGAGTACAGAGCTATGTGCATGTTAAGCACATGATTTTCTACTACTAAACCACACCAGTGCTTGAAAATATTTATAAATGTTTTTTAAAAATCATTGAGTTTAAAAATCAGTGAATTCACTTTCAAAACTATGTCCAGGTACATAGTTTTGAACTCATTAGAATGTAATTTATTGACAATGTCTCCATTTTGGTTTTTGAAAAGAGATAAAATGGGTATATTTTATCTTTACATAAGATCTCTCCCCATCCAAAAAAACTAAACACCAACAAAAACCTGCCAGTGAGCGCAGTCTCTCATCCCACCTGGAGAAGCGGGCCTGGCAGAACGTGTCCCTGGAGACCTCGTATTTCCAGATGCACTGTGCTCAGAAACTGATAGGGCAGAGACAGGCAGGCTGGCGCTTTCTTCCTCGACTTCAATATGCTCTTGTGTCAGTCTTCCTCGCTCTGATCCTTCTGATCTGCTGCAACTGTCACACTTTAAATCACTGGTTGAGTTCTTGGGACTTAATCTGTGCTGTGGCAAGGAATGGAGTTCAGCAGACTTTCTACCTTCAGAAGAATGACTCTCGCTGTGCCTTGGGTTGCTTCCTATCTCCAGGCAGTGAGTCTGTACCTCCTCACCCAGTGCCGGGGCAGTGACTGGAGTCTTCTCGTCAATCTGAAGAGATGTCTTGCCATCTACTTTGTCAGACTTAGCTAAGCACTGCGTGTCACTAGGAGTTTGTACTCCACAACTGTCTGTCACTCTGCTGTTTGGGGCTGTCTGTCGGTGTGAATGTGAGTCAGGAGTTGAGAAGTTCTTTGTGAGCTGGGCAAATTCCTGCTCTGTGCTGAACTCTCCAATGCTTGAGAGGGCTGACATTTGGCGGCCCATAAAGATTGTTGCTGGCTGGTACAACCCTCTTGACATAGACGTCCTGGAGTTAATTCCAACTGGCACCGCAATCTGCAACAGGAAATGTGAGGTAAGTGTAGTACACAGAGACAATGAGCTTGCTTTCTGAAGTGGATGGAGGTAAGAGAAGTACAGCCATGGAAGTCACCATTTACCACCTTTTAGGAAATGCATGCTTTTCTGCATAGCAAATGAGCAAGACATTATATAGCCCATGCTATTTAACTTTAGTAACAGTACTGATTCATAAAGCAATTATAGCCAGGAAATATGGCATCTATAATTTTGAAAAAGAAAAGCACATACTTAACTGAACTGCATGCTTAAAATTGAATTACACTGGCAATTTTTTTGCTATGTGTAGTCTACCATAATAAAAACCAAGCCAAAACAAAACAAAATTTTTAAAAAAAAGCTGTGAGTTCTAAGAGTTCTCCACAGAGCTCAGATTTAATGAAGAACTTGATCAAAACATAAAGAAAAGAGAAAAGGGAGGGGCATACAAAGAACTACTGGACGTTTCAAAATTATTTCTAGCATTACATGTACTATAAATACTTCCAATAATCACCTTCAGGATGGCAATAAAATATACTGCAACCTACACAAAATATTTATAACTTATATCCAAACTATAAATAACATCAGCTTTTAAAACCTCATCAAGTAACATTGTTTTATTGTCATTTTGAGATAGTCTCATTATGAAGTCCAGACCAGCCTTGAACTCACTATGTAGCCCAGGATGGCCTCAAATTTGGGATCTTCATGCCTCAGCCTCTGAAATGCTAGGACTACAAGTGTACATCATCATGCACAGCTTCAAGCAATTTAAATTTACTGGCAAGAGTGAACTTGGTCTTTCATGGAGAAAGACACAGAGCTTGAGACGGAAGGAGAGGCATTGGTTCAATGGCTTATCAAGGACACATGGTGGGAAGCAGAACCAGAAATAACAAGCTGGAAGCCTTCTTTCTTTAAAAGGGACAAAAGCACTTCCACACATATGAACATTTATGTCAGAGAAACATACAGAGTAGACAGGAGATGCATCTGCACCCCTCCTCTGCAAATGGAAAATGTGAGGCCCACATTGTAGGAGAAAATGTCACACATGTCACAAAAACAGAATCAAGGTCTTGCTCCCTCCATACAGTGTCTTTTCTGTTCTTAAAATAAAAGAAACAAGTTTGAACTCAGCAAATGATCAGGGATATTGGAATGAGTGGTGGCAAAGAATCTCTGAAAATTCCCTGCTTCTAGAGATATCACTGGGAAAATGTTCTGAATGACTTCTCAGAATTCTGGAAATTCATTGGGCTTGTGACACCTGGGGGAGCATTTATTCAGAAAAAGCAGCTGGGTCAGAAATGCAGGCTGGATGATGCAGGACCCTACCTTCTTCCCAGCCTCCTCCTTTGGTGTACCGAACCCTCAAGACTTGTACTCATGGTGAAAGTCAGTGGCCCAGCAGCCACAGGGGTGGGAGAACAGAATCCCATTAAAGACCCATTTCTAGAGAACTGTCATCATGTGACTTGACAGCTCCCTGGGGAACCTCACTCACTGACTGCTTATTTGACCTGGCTCCAAGCTTACCTGGAGCAAGTAACTGTCTCCCCTGGGGGATTTGTAGGAAATAACAAAAACCAAGTTTTAATAGGCAGACTGCTTAGGGTAGTAGGTAACTTGAGACAAACAACAGCTAACTAAAGATTTAAAGGGGAAGCTGAGGGGGTGTGTCTGAAAGCTCCAATCCATTTCTAGGAATGCAGGCAATACCTACACAGTCTGCTGGGCTGCACTCAGAAATGATGTGAAGAGCATTGAGCTCCAGCTCTGCAGAGCAGAAAGCAAGGGCCAAGGAGGAGATGTGAGTTGTGTGGTCAAGTGCTGAGTCAGAGCGCAGGTGGAGACTGAGGATTCTACTTCCAGACATGTAAAGAAAGCTGTGTCACAAGCAGCCTGGAAGGGACAAAGGGCTGTTGGAGCAGAGATGGGTGCACTCAGCCAGCTTATGAATCATAGCATTCATCTTACACCTCAACATTTAGAGGGTTCCCACAGAGACTGCTGGTGCCTTAGCACAGCAAGGCCATCACCCTGTGTGGGCCGTGGCCCCAGGTAGAGGCCCAGGGAGAGCAGGAGAAGCACTGCCGACGACCAAGGTGGCCTGGTGAGCAGAACATACTAGTAACCCAAGAGGTGCATGGATTCCAGGAAAGGTCTCACTCACTCAGCTGCACCAGGCCACAGGTTGATACCACAAGCGTCCATCGTCCTCATCTATCTGCACTGTGCTGCTGGTTACTCAAGCTGATCTCAGAAGCAGCTACAAGTTTAGAGTCCATGCCACAGCTCCTTTTTAAAATTTTTTTTCCTTTCTTTTATTTTGAAGAGAAAGAACTTCAAAATAGGATAACAGGAAATCAATAGGGGCTACCATAATGTATCTTGCTATCTTCAAAATAGTTGTCCATACCATCAGGCATAGAAAAATCAAAACAAAACAAAACAGAGTAAGACCAATCAAAGCATAATACTGAATAAAACAAAACAATAAATTGGAACAAAATGGAACAGTGAGAACAATACTGCACATCGTTATTTTCAAAATAGTTGCTCAGGTTACCAGATGCAGGGAAAAAACAGTAAAATGGAACAAAACACTGGATTTCAAAACTAGGAGAGAAGGAAACCCCCTACAGTTGACATAATGCACACTGCCATCCTCAAAGCAGATGCCCAGACCACCAGCCCCAGGCCAGCAGAGTCAACCAAACAATACAAGCATTGAGCTGTTCCCTTCCCCCTCAGTTGGTATCATCTTACTCTGAGTCCTCCAAATCAGCAGGGATGTCTGTGTGCTCTTCTGGTTTTTCAGTCTATGCACTGGCTGGCTCACAGTAAGGCATGGTTTCTCTTCTGGCTGAGACTCTATCAGGATAGTGGAGCCTGCTTCATGGGAAGGCGTGCTTTCTCTTCTGATTAAGGCTCTTACCAATCAACATAGCACACCTGATCTTCTTACTCTCACCAACTACTAGCGACACTCCGGAGCTAATGGAGTCCATACTTTGTCTCTGGAGACTGGTTTTATCTACACAGGCAGCGCTGCAGCTAGAGCCCATGCTTCTCCTTCCCATGTGGAGTCTGTATGGCCAACACTGTGTCTACTTGGGCTATAATGCTGCCAAGCTCATCACACAAATGGACAGCGCTTTTCCCAGGCAGACAGGAAGGGCTGACGCATCTTAGCCCAGCATTGCCACACAAGCTGATCACACAAGTGGCCAATCTATCTCTGGACAGATGGAATCCATGCCTTTCATGGCAGCCCCCAAATGGATCCTGGGGCTGGAAATGCTTGGGCTTTATATCCCTTTTCCTAGGTGTGTCTTCAAAGGCAAGCTATAAGCAGAGGTGTCACATGTTGAATGGCTGCTAACTCCAGTGTCAGAAACTCTGGAGTTAGCAGCTTTTGAGCATTCCCAGTCATTCAGCAGCAGTGCAAGTGTCTTGCTCAAGACATAGGTGTGTGGTGACATTTCAAGATGGAGGTGCTCACACCACGGCACTGGAAACAATATGCTATGTTAAGACTCATAACATCCTGTCTGGTCATGAGCTGATTACTGAGCCAACTGACAGAAACGTCAGTGACTACACATGAAAAACAATATGGACTTCACACAATGAGTTCAGAAAGTCACCAAACAACCCCAAGACAAATAGCAGCAACACATTCAGCGATGGAAGAATCTAATCATAGAGTTACCACATTTTATTATTTAAAATGTGTAAAGTTCAACAAAAAATTATGAAAAATGACAAGAAACTATGACTCTTCCTCATGGGGGGGAAAAAAAGCAGTCAAGATAAACTGTCCATGGGGGAAACCCAGGCACTGAACATAGCAGATAACAGCACTGAATTAGCTCTGTTAAATATGTACAAAGAACTAAAGGAAATTGCACCTAAGGAACTAGCACAAAGTATAGTCGTAACATCTATATGTAGTCCATCAATAAAGACACAGGGTTTGGGGTGTGGCTCAGTGATAGAAAGCCTGTCTAGCACATAGGGCCAAGGGGTCCATCACCAGCAATACAAGAAACAAGAAATCAAGAGGCAGAAATTATTAAAAGAAAACAGAGCCAGTTTGCTTTGGCAGACACAGATATTCTTCGTTAAATTCCTATGACTGAGACATTAAATGAATTAGGTCACGAAACTCATTCATGAGGAATTGTACATAGTGTGTACATTACAACATTCAAAACAAAGCAATGGTCAAAGGAAGTTCAACTCGATGACTTTGCTTTTATTTGCACAACTCTTACATGTGGTACTGTGATATATAACAGAACATAAAACTAGAGTACTGTATAGTGCAACTAGCAAAAAGTACAGTCCTGTATAAACAACATACACTGTACAAAAAGACACAGAGGCTCTATAAACAAAATGCATAGAACCCCCCCCCCACACACACACAAGACAGGTCATAAATCCAAGCAGCAGGTAGCAAGTCCGAACAGTTGTTAAACAGGTAGGTTGTTAAACGAGAAATATCTGCACAGAAATGGATGCTCTCATATCATGAGATCCTAAGTAAGATCAAAGGTGATTTATCGGAAACCATGCATTAGGAAGACATACTAAACATGTCGAAAGGAAAACTATCAGCCAGGAATTCTCTATCTACTGAAAGTCACCTTCAAAAATGAAGGAGAAATTAAGACAATCTAAGAGAGAGAGAGAGAGAGAGAGATGAGACTACTGGTACCATTCCTGCCATGCAAGAAATACTAGAGAAGAAATACTTTGGGCTGAAATGAAAAGCCATTTAAGAGTAGCTCAAATCCACATTGAACTAACCAGCTAGGCTACACAGTGAGCTTAAGGCCACTGAAGTAAGTGAGAACCAAGAATCTCTTGGGAAAGGATTCAAGCATCAAGAGTTCTAACCCACTTGATGCCTTTGATTCAGTAATTCTGCATGGAAATCCACTTTTAGGAAATAAGCCCAACAGGAGAAAAAAAAAAAG